TCTCCATCATTTATATTATTGCACTTACACCGCAATACGCCAGTACGTAATTTGGTGACATACCGTGCGCGTGACTCATAATCCTATATCGTTCACTTTTCATCCTAGTTAAATAAATCTTAATCTTATATTTGTGGAAACAGACAATACAGTGAATTTATCCTAAACTGACTCTATCTTTTATCTCCTTTAACTTTATCGCGATCCAACCCCGAACACACATTATGCAACTGTACAATGTAATACCCACTTTTTAGTATTTATGTTATGAGCCCCATGTAATAGGGGGTGAATAAGTTGTTAATAAGACCACGAAATTATGAATTGTGGTCGGAATCCGACGTACGACAACAGCCTTACACCGTTTTTCGTATAATTATTGTATGTATGTATGTCTAACCAAAATAAAAAAGCTTTACATAGAGAGGAGTGGAAGGAGGGTAGGGAGGCCTTTGCCCTGCAGTGGGACGATCATGGCTATAAACAAACAAACATGTCTAACCGATCGAGGTATAGTTAGACTTAATATAAGATATGTTAAATTAAACAAAACTAATAAAATGTGACTGGCAAAAAATAGATGCAATATTAGTCCGTGTTACACCCCTGGGAAATAAAATACGTAATAATAACATCACTGCCGCCTCGTTGGCTGAGTTCGATTCCCGGGTCGGGCAAAGTATTACGGGGTTTTTTAAAAAATCTTATGAGTAGCATGGAGTGTGGAATTGTGCCCGGTATTTGGCAATAGGCTCACCCCCTATAACATGGGACTCATAACATAAATAATGAAAAGTAGGTGTTACATTGTACACTGGCATTAAATGCCATAATGTACACCTCTGCAAACCCCTTCGGGGTATAAAGGCGTGATGTTATGTTATGTTAACATAATTATAACATGTAAACATTTCTTGCTGTTTTATCTCAACAAAAGACCAGAATATTCTTAATAAGGAATACGATTTCGATGTTAATTGCGATTGGGATTCGATAATAGCCTGTAGATCGAATCGGGGGCCGTTTTATGACCTCTATATAGAAGGGACTAAAGGACAGCGGAAAATACCTTAAGTAGTAGTTTCTGTGCTTAGAAGTTGTGGGAGACATACAACTTGAATCATAGACGAGCATGACCGCCGCGCGCCGCGCGCGTTCCAAGACTGAGCGCGGCCGACTACACATATTTTATATACGGCTGCATGACGTTGTAGCTGTACTTTGATGACGACGGACGTGCGCCTGCGCCTGCGACCCTCAGAACACTGAGCGGCCGGTCGCCGCGTTAGTTTTTATATAAACGCAAGAACGTTTCTGATTGGCCGAGCGTATTCTTCGACATTTATTTTACCAATAAGATATATGTAGCCTTAAGTAAATTTTGTATAAATATGACCGCCTAAATAAATTCGAAATCATTCTCATTCTGGTAATTCATATAATTGGTGTTTTACTAAGTACCCGAAAGAACCCATATTGGTGACCCCGACCTCTGCGATGGAAGAATTTGGTGACGCTATGGCCGCATCCGAAAAATATGAGCAGGAAATATCTGCAATTGCTCTGCAAGCGAAGATACCACATTTCTGGCGTGCACAACCAAGGCTTTGGTTCGCTCAATTTGAAGCAGTTATAGCACCTCACAAGACCAGCGACGAACAAAAATACAACTTGGTGATTCCAGTACTAGAAAGAAAAGACATAGAACAAATCAGCGATATCATCTGTAAACCACCAGAGATAGGAAAATACAACGCTTTGAAGAAACGTTTGCTGTCGGTATATGAGGAATCCGAATCTCGACAGTTCCAGAAGCTCCTGAGTGGATTGGAGCTAGGTGATCAGAAACCAACACAACTGCTGCGGGTGATGCGAGAACTGGCCGGAGAGAAAGTACCCGATAATGCACTGAAAATATTATGGATGGGACATCTACCGTCACAAGTTCGAGCCGTCTTATCTGTTAACACAGAAGCAAGTCTCGATACACAAGCAATGATGGCAGATAAGATGATGGAGCACACGGATCAGACAATATCAGAAGTCAGTCAGGTCTCAAGCATACCACCTACAAGTCCCAGTAGTTGTCAAGATCTACAATTCCAAGTCTTAACCAAACAGATTGAAAAGCTTACCCTAGAAATCGCATCGTTAAGGAAGGAAAATGCAAGTCATCGTCGATCGTCTCATTCATTCCGAAAGAACAACTACGGTTCAAGATCACGATCCCATTCAAGATCCAGGACAGGCAAAAAACCAGGCGATCCAGACTGGGAGTGCTATTATCATCATCGATTTGGAAACAGGGCAAAGAAGTGTGAACCGCCATGCGCTAGGAAACCGTCGGAAAACTAACGACAACATCGACTGTGGCGGACGTCGGTGTAGCGAATAGAAACAACCGCCTATGTATAACAGATTTACAATCAAGAGAACGTTTTCTAGTCGACACTGGCGCGGACATATCGGTGCTAGCCGTAAGAGACAAGCGAACACCGATAGAAACGTCTTTTAAATTATTCGCTGCAAATAATACCCCCATTAAAACATACGGAGAAAAAACATTACAACTCAACCTTGGCTTGCGACGTAATTACAAGTGGACATTTATTATGGCAGATGTCAAGATGTCAATCCTCGGAGCTGACTTTCTACGACACCATAGACTGCTAGTAGACCTTCATCGCAAGAAACTGGTTGACAGCTTAACCGAACTTTCAGTAAATACGACGGCGATACGCACAAATCAAGATACAACGCTTTATGTAGTTGAACCTACCCACCGTTATCATGCGCTATTGCAAGAATTTACCGACGTGTTGAAGCCTATGACATCTACAAAAGAAATTAAACACAATGTGAAGCACTACATTGAGACCACTGGACCCCCACTATTCGCAAGACCTCGCCCATTAGCACCAAACAAGTACAAAGCAGCTAAAACCGAATTTGAAGCAATGATGTCAATGGGTATATGTCAACCATCAAAAAGTCCATGGGCCAGTCCGATGCATGTCGTGACGAAGAAAGATGGTAATCTACGCATATGTGGTGATTATCGACGCTTAAATGCAGTAACGCTCCCCGATAGGTACCCAATTCCGAGGGTACAAGATTTTACATATCACATGGAGGGTATGACGATATTTTCGAAGATCGATTTGAAAAAGGCATTTTTCTGGATACCAGTTGCTGAAAATGACATAGAAAAAACAGCAGTCACAACACCATTCGGTCTATTCGAGTTTCGTCGCATGCCATTCGGATTACGTAACGCACCACAGACTTTTCAACGGTTCATGCACGAAGTCCTGAGAGGCCTAGACTACTGTTGTTACTGTTTCATCGACGATCTGCTTGTCTACTCAGAAAATCCAGAACATCATGAAGAACATCTACGAATTATCTTGAAACGATTGTCTGACTATGGCATTGGAATTAATATAGATAAATGCCAATTTGGACAGCAGAAGCTAAATTTCCTGGGATATGAAGTCACACAAGAAGGTATTACACCGACCACAGAACGCGTCCAAACTATTTTAAACTACCCGAAGCCAGTAACTGTCCAAGATTTGCGACGTTTCCTGGGAATGGTTAACTTTTACCACGATTGTTTACCTAAGCAAGCTGAAATACAAATTGAATTGAACAAGTTACTACATAATAAGAAAAAAAACGACAAGACACTTATAACCTGGAATGAAGCAACAGAGGACGCTTTCAATAAATGCCGTTTAAGCATATCGGAAGCTGCACGACTAACCCATCCAGTCCAAGGTGCCCCATTAGCCATTATGACAGACGCATCAAACATAAGTGTCGGCGCAGTCCTACAACAAAACACGAACAACACCTGGAAGCCGTTATCTTTCTTCTCAAAAAAACTCAGTGATACTCAAGCAAGATACAGCGTATACGACCGAGAGTTACTAGCAATCTATATGGCTGTAAAACATTTTAGAAGATTAATTGAAGGAAACGATGTTGTAGTATACACAGATCACAAACCTCTGTCCTATGCTATGACTAAGGCGGAAAGTACATGTGATACACCTAAACGAGGAAGACAACTACATTTCATAAGCCAATTTTGCAGCAGGATTGAATATATTCACGGAACCAACAACGTAGTCGCAGATGCATTATCAAGAATCACTGCCATCGACTGTCCTGCTATTATCGATTTTGAAAACCTGGCAAAGGAACAAACTCGAGACGAAGACTTGAAGCACCTACTGAAACAAGATAATCTTCATTTTGTAAAGATTACATTACCTACATCGAAACAAGAAATCTACTGCGAGAATAAGACAAAAACACTACGTCCATACTTACCAAAATCATTTCGTGAGACTGCATTCAAAGCACTACACGAAATGAGTCATCCCGGTATTCGCACGACTAGGAAAATGATCACCGACAAATACTTCTGGCCGGGAATGAACAAGGACATTTCAACATGGACGCGATGCTGTATTTCATGTCAACGGGCTAAGATACATAGACACACGAAAACACCGTTAATACAGTTTCCGGAATCAAGAAGATTCGAACACGTTCATGTGGACATCGTTGGACCACTAACTCCATCAGAAGGATATCGATACCTTGTCACAATCATCGATCGATGCTCAAGATGGCCAGAAGCAGTACCAGTCAGTGATATTAGCGCAGAGACCGTCGCCCGAGTAATATACGACAACTGGATAACTCGTTTTGGTTGCCCACTACGCATAACAACGGACCAAGGACGACAGTTCGAGTCAACATTATTTCTTAAGCTCATGAATAAACTTGGTATATCAAGAATACGGACCACTGCTTACCACCCGCAATCAAACGGACTCGTAGAACGATTTCACCGTACCCTCAAGACAGCATTAATCGCCAGAGTAAATAAACAACAATGGGTTCAAGAATTATCAACTGTTTTACTCGGCATACGCACGGTGATTCATAAAGAAACAAACTACAGTCCCGCTACGATGGTATATGGTACCTCATTAAGATTACCTGCCGATATTTTCACACCTACAAAGATAAACAATGAAGACCCGTTATTATTGCAACATCTATCGGAATCAATGGCATCGCTTAATGACACGTGCGCGCGCGCACCGATAAGACACCTGCGCTCGACTCACGTGCCGAGACAGCTGTTTACTTGCACTCATGTATTTATGAGGGTGGATTGCACGAGAAAATCATTAACACCACCGTACGAGGGCCCGTATGAAGTTATAGAACGACACGACAAATTCTTCAAGATACGTTTGCCAAATCGTGAAGCTGTGGTGTCATTGGATCGACTAAAACCTGCCCACATTCTACCACCGGCCACAGAAGACGTGGAAGTAACCCCTTATGTGACCCGTTCCGGTAGAACTGTTAAACCTACAAGAAATGTACGGTTTTCTTGAAGGGGGATACTGTGGGAGACATACAACTTGAATCATAGACGAGCATGACCGCCGCGCGCCGCGCGCGTTCCAAGACTGAGCGCGGCCGACTAACCGCACATATTTTATATACGGCTGCATGACGTTGTAGCTGTACTTTGATGACGACGGACGTGCGCCTGCGCCTGCGACCCTCAGAACACTGAGCGGCCGGTCGCCGCGTTAGTTTTTATATAAACGCAAGAACGTTTCTGATTGGCCGAGCGTATTCTTCGACATTTATTTTACCAATAAGATATATGTAGCCTTAAGTAAATTTTGTATAAATATGACCGCCTAAATAAATTCGAAATCATTCTCATTCTGGTAATTCATATAATTGGTGTTTTATTAAGTACCCGAAAGAACCCATAAAGTCAATGGCGATCTTGATAAAGTGTATTGGATTTTGAACAGATCTGCAATAAAAACATTGCTTTTATGTTACTACTCGCTTAAAGATTTTTTTACCGACTTCAAAAAAAGGAGGAGGTACTATGGTCGGCTGATTGTTTTTTTTTTGATGATGATAGTTTTTGTTAATCTAAATTTCTTATGTTCTATTATAAGTATTTTTGTATAACTTGTGTTGTGCCTAATTCTGAATGATTTGATTGTTATTTTGTTTAAATTTAAAAATTTTATTTAATAATTTTATTTAACTAATTCAATAAATTTGCATGTCGTAAAGCAAAATGTACTGGGATTCTCCATAAGCTATGAAACAACATATTTGTTACCTACATTTATTTGCCAAAATAAATTATTTCTGATCTGTGATTTTTAATGTTTTTCTATCAAATAACTTGGAGCAAGGAATTACTCTAAGAACAAAAGAAGAATAAGACTGCTTTAAGAGTATAGAATCATTTCTTAATAAATATCTATTATTATTTAACTAGAATAAACGATTGAATGTGGAGTATATGTCTTCTTATTTCAGATTTGTTTATTTTATCATACATTGATGACACATTTTTTTTTCATTTATTTAAATAGGTATAGGTACCAACAGCTTCTGTATACATAGTATTAAGACATAATAAAGGTAACAATAGGTATTGGGCATATAAAGTCGCCAATTGTAAGTTATTATAACCAATTTTACACGATACACATGTCATATATTATGTCAAATGACAGCTCACGCACGATGATGAAAAACAAATTAACGGATGACGTCACAAAATGTCACATTGCATATATGAAGTTTACGTGCAAATTAACACGGATAGAACTAAAATCTCAACGAACAACTGTTGGGCAAAAAGCCCGCCAGTTGTTCGTGCGGAGGATCCTACTTTCCGATCTTAGGGAAGATTACTCTGTTCCATATATTAAAAAAAAAGTCAGTCAGAATGAATAGTTAGGGATTCAGAAAGTGACCAAAAGCTATGCTCTGAGCCATATTGGAACAAAAAAAAATACATGAAAGTATATTTTTTGTTCCAATATACATGAAAGTATATTTTTTGAATGTATTTTTTTATCATGGTGATGAACTTCGATCAACTAGGACTCATACTGAACATAGCTTTGTATCGAGATTTTTTGAAATATGAAATGCTTTTTTTAAGGAATAAGCCGGTAAACGAGTAGAGGGATCACCTAATCCACAACACCAGAGATGTTGTTACAAGTGCGCCGGCCGTTTGGGGATTAGGAATTTAAGCGAAAGATTGGTAGGATTGGGGACAATGGGGGGGCGGGGGTGATTAATTGGGCCTCCGTCAACCTCACTCACATAATGCAAGTGTCGTCGTCGTCATTCTGCTCGGCCGTGGTATTACTCCGGTCGAACCAGCCCATTCGTGCCGAAGCATAGCTGCTTCTTGCTGCTGCTGCTGTGGGAGAGCCATCTCCCACACTCTTTCAATAAAACTAAGTCAAATTCGAAATCAGTCAAAATAAACC